GTCTTGGGTAATTTGTGAATCAAAAACAAATTCTTCAGAGTGGTAAAAAATTTTGGGGACAATTGCTACCTGAATACAATAGTCTGAGGATTCATTGAAGTGTTGCAGTGACAAGCAGGGTTTAACGCCTATAGGGGAACAAACCCACTTAGTGTTCTTGGCAGGTATTAACCACTTTGCAGGTCTCTCTGGTTTCTGCGGCCCCTTTCTATTAGTCTTGGCACACAATTGTTTCTTGTGCACTGGGACTTTGCCTATACACAAACCTCTTCCTGCTATTTGGGTCAATGTAATTCCTTGGTTTGCTGTGCCCCATATACACCGTGCAGGGTTAGTGCCATTTACCCGTTTGGGTCTCTTATTTACTCCTACTGCTTCATAGAAAGGTGGTTTGATTCCATAACACAGCCAACAATGTTCAGTAAGGTTTGGATCGGTTTTGTTTAGTAATTGGTAACCAATTTGTATCATTTTCCAGAGGGGGTTATCCCCAGTGGTTTCATCAGATATTTGGGTAGTTTGATTGTTATCGATTCTTGGAATTGTCGTTATGCTTTCCTTGGCTTCTTCAACCAGTTCATCAGTCAGTATCAGATTGGACCCTACCAGTACTGGATCATTTGGCACCGGTTTCTTTTTTATTTGAATAAAATTGCCCCTATCCTTTCCTGACTCGTAAAGTCAGATTCCCCAACTTTTTCCTACAAGCCAACTAGAATCTTGGGGTTCAGTTACATTTAACATAAGATACTGACACCAGTTTTTGGGACCCCCACGAGTTGCTGTAAAACCTGGCCTCAGGGAGTCTTTGGGAGGAATAACGCATTTGTCAGGTCCCCATTGTACCTTTAAATATCTGTCCGGCCCTGCTTCTGGTACCCAATCTGAGGCTATAGTTTCGCATCCCCAGTACTTACAATAGAATTGGTCAGGATAATTGCAGTAGCTTTTTCCTGGGTTGGAACTGGGGCAAATATAAAATCCTGAGTCCTGTGTGCAAGGCATTATGGGTACAAGTGTACACAGGGAACTTGTAAATGATGGTGCCCCTGATGTTGTTACAGTCTGTATTTGCTTTTGGTTACCCCTTTCTGCAGTTAGGGTCCACTCAAAAGGTTGATGGGGCTGGTGGTTCAGTCCAGCCCGTGCTTGTGGCATGTGTGTTATAAGTAGCATGCTCAGAATGTACTGGGAAGGGTGGAAATTCCATTTCTTTGTTATCCAGATAGTCCAATAGCTCAAATAGAAGGTTGGTAGGATTCTGAAAATTTTTATAACTTCTATAGAAGGGGGACATTGCTCCTGTAGAGTCAAGGTGTTTTGCACCTCTTTCTGGCCTTTGCTTTTTGGGAGCCTTTTTCTCTCAGAGTACGGTTTTAAGATTTTTCCCCACTGGTGTACGTCTCTGCCTACTCTGTTGCATAGAGCAGCAGTGTGTTTAATCTTCTCAGCAGCAGTCGTATTCTTCAGGGGTACGTTTTACCTCTACTCTGGTCTACATAGGCCTCCTGGTTTGTAGGCCAATTAAGGTGAGAGTGTGTATATATATGTATATATATATATGTATATCTATATAAATTCCCCCTTTATCTACTTCCCACCAAGTTTTAGAGTTTTCCAATTGCCTTCTCTGTTGTTAATCTAATTTTAAGGCCCAGTTAGTTAGTCACCATTCTAGTCAGTAATCTTGATGACGACTGGATCGGAAGTTCACCTCAAATGTATTATGAATCCACCAGCCTTCTTTACATATATTGTATTCTATACACACGAAAAGGAAACAGCTACGGGTTTCGACTGACAAAATATTAACATCTCACTTACTGAGTCCTTTTGTGGTGTCTTGTACCTTGCTTTTCACAATGTTCGCATTAGGTCTTTCGAAGGGTGACTCGTAGATCTCCGGGAGAGCTGGTCACCTGCCAGGATGAATCTCGTATAGGTCCTGTCACACGACTGGCATGCGTCCACCCCTTCTCAGCAGTTCGAATAGCAGCTTCTGTAGTGATAAGAACAACATAGGGTCCTTCCCAGCGGGGGGTTAAGGAAGATTCTTTCCATGATTTAATCAATACTTTATCTCCTGGTTGAATTCGATGCATTGTCATGTCCAAAGGAGGGCTCTGTACCACCATCCCTCGGGCTTGCAGCTGTTTTCTCCTTGCCATTAGTTGTATTAGGTAGAATATTATTCTTGCATCTTTAATTTGAGGGTGATCAGGGGGCATTTCCAAATCATAGGGCATTCCATATAACATTTCAAAGGGAGAGATCCCTACATCAGTTCAGGGCTGGGTTCTAATATTTAATAGAGCCAAGGGGAGACATTTTACCCAAGACATTTTTGTTTCTAATATTAATTTGGTAAGTTGTTTCTTTATTTCTCCATTCATGCGTTCAACCCTTCCTGAACTTTGAGGGTGCCACGGGGTGTGATACTGCCACCGTGTACCCAGGGCAGCCAAAGTTTCTTTAGCCACCTTGGATACAAAGTGTGGGCCTCTGTCTGAATCTATTACTTCTATTCTTCCATACCGAGGTATAATTTCTTCAAGTAGTATTTTTGTTACCGTATGAGCTGTGGCTCGTGCCGTGGGAAAGGCCTCTACAAAATGGGTCAGGTGATCTACTATTACTAATAGATATCTGTATTTTCCTACTTTTGGTAATTCAGTAAAGTCTATTTGTATTCTCGCAAAAAGGTCTTTGAGCCAAATTCCTTCCTCCATGCACTTGTTTTCTTATCTGGTGTTTATTTACCTTTTGACAAATGAGGCATTCTCCCACCACTCCTTTGGCTATGTCATATATCCCAATATACATATATTTAGTTGCAAATTGATCTACTAACGCTTGGGTTCCCCAGTGAGTCTTTTGGTGAAATTGTCGTATTATTTCCGTAGCTACAGGTTTTGGGAGGACCTCTCGGCCATCCGGAAGTTCCCGCTTCCCGTTTGGTTTTTGCTCAATTTCCAATTTGTTTCAGTTTTCCTTCTTCATGTATAGTAAAGCTTAGGACCTGAAAGGTTTCCCCATGGAAGAAACACCACCCAATACCTGGCCTTTCGCATACGCATTCTATGCCATCTGCTCCAAAATCTTTCCAACAATCGTAGCAGGGGAGGAATTCATCTCCACAATTAACGCACTGTTTTCTAGCTTCTGTGGGGTCGTCTAAATGTAATGTTAACAAAGCGGCCCTTTTTGCCTCCTGATCAGCAAGGTTATTTCCTCTGATGAGAGGACTTAGCCCCCTCTGGTGTCCTTTTAGATGTACTACTGCTATTTCGGCTGCCCCCGTACAGCTTGTAAGGTTTGTACTGTCAAATCCTGATGTACCAGACTTTTTCCCTGGGAATTAATTAAACCTCTCTCCTCCCAGATTTTTCCAAAGGTATGTACCACCCCAAAAGCATATCTAGAATCTGTATATATTGTTCCTACTTTTCCTTTCAGTAATTGTAAAGCCTTTAATAGAGCATATAATTCACATGCCTGTGCTGACCAGCTCAAGGGTCCTGACTCTAGTACTTCGAAGGTTTTTCCGTTGATTATGGCATATCCTGATTTTCTTTTTCCCTCCACCACCCGAGAAGACCCATCTACACATAATTTTTCTCCCTTTTCCAACTCTTCTTCTTCCAAATCTGGCCTTATTTTAGTTTGCTCTTCTATATTATTAAGACAATTGTGAAAAAGATTTTCATTAGGTTCTCCATATAAAAAATGGGCTGGATTTTGTAATGATGTGGTTTCAAGAGTTAGGTGGGGGGATGTAATGAGAATTGCTTCATATTTGACCAATCTTGCATCGGTTATCCATTTGTCTGCCTTTCGTTGTAACACACCTCTGACAGGATCTAGCAATTTTGACATATATGCTACTGGTTTCTTTTTCCCTGCCCATTCTTGAGCCAGTACTCCAAATGCAGTTTCTTCCTCTATGTTAACAAACAGGAAGAATGGTCTTTTTAAATCAGGCAAACTCAAAACAGGAGCATTCACTAAATCAGTTTTTAATTCCTCTAACCGTTCATCGTCCTCCTGGGTCCATTTTAATAATCCATCTTTAGTTATTTTGTTGTATAAGAACTTTATTTTTCCAATGTACCCCTCGATCCACTGTCTGCAATACCCAAATAATCCTAATAATTGTCGGACCTGTCTTTCAGTTTTCTGGCGTGGAAGGGAAAGTATTCCCTTAACTCTTTCTGGATCCAGCTTCTTAGTTCCTTGGCTTAATCGATGCCCTAAGTATTTAACTTCTTTTTCTACAAATTGTAACTTAGATCTAGACACTTTTAGTCCCTTCAAGCTTAGAAAATTTAGTAGCCTGATGCTTTCTTTTCGCAC